TTAGAACTCTTGACGAGTGTAAAGAACTCTGAACGAGTTAAGAACTCTGACAAGAGTTGTTGAAAACCGCCTTTTTGGTTTGATGAGATTAAGTTGGGTTGCAAACTTAATCACGAACTCTTAAAATGAGTTTCAGAAATAAACTCAGAGTGAGTTAAAACTCTATAACAGAGTTGTTGGAACCGAAGATTCGGTTAATTGCCAAGTGGACTAGATTGTTGATGAAGGGATCCCTCGGGATTCGATTAACTGATCGTTGATCAGTTCTTTGATTTCCAAAAGATCTTCTTCTTCGTTAAACTGCTGAGATTTGATGACCTTAGGCGGTTTTGATGCCAGCTCACCTAAACCTTATGCGGTTTTGATATCAGAAAATCGATCAACCGACCAACCCCTTACTCAGTTGAGTAAGTTGGTTATTTATAGGGTGATGTGGGGTGTAACCAACCCCTATTTCCGCTCCTTTGTGGGCGAGAATCCCTCAGAACGTGGGATAACGGCTTTGAGGCCGTTCGGCTTGCGTTTGAACAAGTCAAAACGCCTCAGTTGGCGTTCTGGGCTTTAACTCTGCGTCCAAGACTTGAGACGCAGAGTTAAATCTCTGTTAGAGATTTGAGACACACGGGCCGTTGGTGCGTTGAAATTTAACTCTGCGTCCAGAGTTTGGGACACGTAGTTGAACCTATTGAAGAACGCACGTTATGTGTGCGTTTGGTGCTTGAACTCTGCGTTGCAGAGTTAGACATTCGCTGGAGAACGCACAAGTTGTGTGCGTTTCGAATTTGAGAAACGCAGAATTAAACTTCTACGTTTGATAGAGGTTGTTGACTTGTAACCTCGTCTACCATGACATTGCAAAGGCCATTGTTTATTGGTCTTTGCCTGTTATAAGATATGAGAGTCGTCAGATTGTAACTCTCACCAACGATCGTGAAGGCCACTGAATAGGGTTTTCATCAGCTGTCGGAAGCGTCGTCAAATTGTAACTCTTCTCGATCTGTGTGAAAAGTCTCCTATTTGCCCCTTCCGACTGTCGACCCGAAAGCTATTTGATTGTAGCTTTCGTTGTGAGAGCTTGACGGGAATCAACATCCATAGTGTTTTGAAGATGGTAGCGGTTGCAGAGTTGCGGATGCAGTGATTAGAAAGTCGTCTGATTGTAACTTCCATTATCAGGGCTTGATAGGGATTAGCTATCCATTGTGATTTTTAGACAGCCTACAACCACAACCCCTACCACCACCATAAGACCCGCGATCACATCCACGATCTCTACCATGTCCACGCCCATGAGTATTACTCTGATTTTCGGCATGTGCTTCAGGCACAACTTGCGAACCAACTGGTCTAGCATTATGGTTGTGCATCAGAAGTTGGCTGTGTTTCTCTACAGCTAGTAACACAGAGATCAATTCAGAGTGTTTTGAATAGTTTTTGGTCCTGTACTGTTGCTGGAGTATAAGATTACTTGCATGGAATGTAGAGAGGGTCTTTTCAATCAATTCAGCCTCTGTAATGTTCTGTTTACAGAGCTTTAGCTGTGAGATAAAGTGGTGGATAGTTGAATTGTATTCAGTCACGGATTTAAAATCCTGAAATCGCAAGTTCAACCAATCATATTGTGCTTGTGGGAGCATAATAGTCGTCTGTTGGTCAAAGCGATCCTTCAGGGATTGCCATAGAACAGCAGGATCTTTTTTAGTAAGGTACTCATTTTTCAGGTCTTTGTTGAGATGATGATGAAGAAAAATCAATACCTTTGCCTTCTGGGCAGAGGTGCTTTGAGAAGTTAGAACAATAGTGCTGCTTAAATCATAAGAATCCAGGTAGATTTCAACATCCAAGGCCCAAGTCAAGTAGTTGCTGCCATCAACGGCAAGCTTAGCAAATTCCCTTTTGGTGATGTTAGACATTGTTCAGAAATGCTATAATTATCATTGGAAGATATATCAATCCACCAAATTTATAAAATATTGTACTATACAAGGTGTGCATACAAACAGAAGTGAATAAATAAAGGAGCCACAAATCATTAGTTACAGTGCATGCCTCTGTTCTAATTAGCTAGGACAAGTGATCAATCAACAGAAGATGTGCATTTGCAAATTGTATTAAACCAGACTGCATGAAATCAACATATAATAAATGGTTTATATGCATGTATATTATATAACAAATACGAGAAGGGAGAGATTCTATATATATAAAAACAAACAAAAAGTGAATGTTTGTTTATTTATTTTTACAAGATGAAAACATATTGTATTCATAATAAGACCAACATGCATGTTTGTGTGTTTATAAAAGGACAACTCAGCAAATATATCATCATCACATGATTCGCATAAAAACAAACCAAAGAATTGTATATCATACTGGACATAATCATAATCATTCAACGGAAAGCTTGATACTATGTAAATAGACAAAGGCCGAATGTATTATTACCTTGCAGAAGATGTACACCTAAAAATCTATTACTACGAACCTATGATCACGAACCGGCTAAAGCCACTCGTGCTGATAACGTATTGTAATATACTAAAGAAATGAAAACAAGAGACAAGAGACAAGAGAAGAGCCACTCGTGCTGATAACGTATTGTAATATACTAAAGAAATGAAAACAAGAGACAAGAGACAAGAGAAGAAGAGAAATTGTAATTTTTATTCCATAATATACTAAAGAAATGAAAACAAGAGACAAGAGACAAGAGAAGAAGAGAAATTGTAATTTTTATTCCACTTAATCCATTTCCATACGTGGTACAATTTATAGATACATGATGGAAGATAAAAAGACATTGGGCTAATGAAAAGACATCAAGTTAATAGTCCACATACAAAGTAATGTCCACATACATTTTATCTTTTAGATTTCAACGGATCTGTCAATTCTTAAGTTATTTCGAAATTAGCTCCTCAAGTTATTAAAACTGTGATTAGGTTCCCTAATTCGTAAGATATTTTGAAATGAATACCTCTAATCAAGAGCACAAGTAGCAATCAAAAGGAATTAATTTGAAACAACTTGTGAGAATTGCAGACCAATAGGAATTTCATGATTTGAGGGGCTGATTCATTTATGAGAGATGCAAGGGACTAATACCAACAAATTTCAATTCAAAAATGGAATCGAAGCAGGTTTTAAATAGATTTCAGATGGATTTTCTAGTGAATTCGACAAATATTTAGGATTAAAAAGTTTTAGTGTCATATTGCATATTTTGAGTATGTATAAGTGCAAAGTGCAAAGTGCAAAGTAAAAGGAAGCTATAAGGTATTTAAGAGCTGGTAGCCTTTGGCTGTTCTTGAGGTTTTTGCCTTAATTTCATTCAAACAAGTTGATAAAGGTTACAACATAGATAAGTTTATACACAACTCAAATATATTCATGGGATCATGTATAAGACATACATCTGTAGTAGTAATATTCAGATTCATAGTCGCAACAGCTTCAAAACAGATTTCTCCTGGAGGCCGTGACCCTGTTGGTACTCCATAAACTCTCCATATTTCATCCCTCGGAATGTTGCCGGGCTCTCGCCGCTGACGAGCTGGGGAGCTGCGACCACAGTTGTGTCCAAGGATGGACCTGTAACAGTCACAATTGACATCCTCGCTCTCTTCTCATTTACCGCAGCTCGGTGGACAATGCTCTTGTATTTGCCATTGCTAACAATCTGCAAAATTTTTAGTCCTATAAAATATCTATGGAACTACTAAGGACTAGGTGCGGATTGACCCCCTTAATGTCGTTGTTTCGAACTTATCGTCTCTCTCTCTAGTTTTATTTTCTGCGGATAGATCCCTGAGTGAAATTTCTTTGACTCTCTTACACTTAGTAATTAAAAAGAAAATTGTTTTCAGCAGATACGACCCCAAGGGAGTAATAGAGTCAAACAAATTCACTAGAGGGTATGAAGTAAATTCAAAACAACAACACTACAGGGTTGTGTCCGCAGCTAACCCAATTATTTGTTGGGACAAACCCGGGGCCTAATAGAGCAGGGTCGCAGCAATAGTAGAGCAAAAGTAGAGATAAAATGTTGGACACACAGATTTACGTGGTTCGGCACTTGATTGCCTACGTCCACGGGCAAGGATAGAAGAATTCACTATGAGGAAAAAACTCTGGAGTTACAAACTCTCTCTTTACAAGGAGAAACTCTCTCTATTTTTTTCTCTCTCACTCTTCTTATATAAGAAGTTGTTTCTGGGATGAAATTTCCTTAAGGATTTGGAGCCCTATTTATAGTTTTTAGAAAAACACTATGCGCAATAAAATATTAATATTTTACTGTAGCTGTGGGGTCCGCTCTTTTGTTTTCTTCTCAAATTTTCAACATATGTGGCTGTGCACTTTCGGTGGGTTTGGAATATTAGGCACCTGACAATCTCCCACTTGAAGATTTGATTGAGCATCAATCATATCTTCACACCATTCTTTCTATCTTGCCATCTTCATGTTGCTTACGTCTCCATCAGACCACAAGAGGATCGACACCAAATAAATTTGTCAGTACTGACTGCTTTGGTCAAAAAATCTGCTAGGTTGTCTTTGGTGTGAATTTTCTGCATATCCACTGTTCCTTCTTCCACTTTCTCACGAACGAAGTGATACTGAACTCGAATGTGCTTGGTCTTTGAATGAAAGGCTGGATTTCTTGCCAAATGCAAAGCACTCTGACTGTCACAAAATAAAGATATCTTCTTTTGTTCATAGCCGAGTTCCTCCAGCACCATCTTCAACCACATCGCTTCTTTACTAGCTTGTGTAGCTGCTACATACTCTGCTTCTGTTGTTGAAGTAGCCACAACTGACTGCAGTTTTGAAACCCAGCTTACAGCTCCGCCAGCAAGTGCAAACACATAACCTGTGGTGGATTTGCTATTATCACGATCACCTGCATAATCAGAATCAACATATCCACTGACAATAAAATCAGATCCCCCATAACATAATGCAACATTTGAGGTTCCTTGAATGTATCTTAGAACCCTCTTTACAGCATTCCAATGCTCTTTACCAGGATTCGCCATGTATCGACTAACCACTCCCACTGCTTGTGCAATGTCTGGTCTTGTACAAATCATCGCGAACATTAAGCTTCCCACTGCTGATGCATACGGCACTCGAGACATCTCCATCCTCTCTTCTTCACTGCTAGGACTCATACTGGAGGATAACTTGAAATTAACAGGAAGTGGGGTAGAAATTGACTTACAATCTTGCATGTTAAAGCGTCGCAAGATTTTCTTCAAATAGTTCTTCTAAGAAAGCCAAATCTTCCTATTAATTCTGTCTCGGTAAATTTGCATCCCTAGAATCTTGTTTGCAGATCCTAAATCCTTCATTTCAAATTCCCTAGCCAACTGAGCCTTTAATTCTTTGATACGATCTTTGTTGGGGCCTGCAACCAACATGTCGTCAACATACAACAATAAGATAACAAAGTTATTTTCACCAAACCTCTTGAAATATGCACAAGGGTCTGAATTAAGTCTGTTGTATCCAAGGCTCATGATGAATGAATCAAATCTATTGTACCAACATCTCGGCACCTGTTTTAGACCGTACAGAGAATTGTTCAATCTGTAAACTAAGTTTTCTTTCACTTTTTCTTTAAAACTTTCTGGTTGGAGCATGTAAATTTCTTCTTCAAGATCTCCATGAAGAAATGCTGTTTTCACATCTAGCTGCTCTAGATGTAAGTCAAATATAGCGCTCATAATCAGGACTATTCGGACTGTTGTTAGTCGCACTACAGGAGAAAATATTTCATTAAAATCAATACCTTCTTTCTGAGCATATCCTTTTACCACCAATCTAGCACGATACCGCTCCACTTGATCATCGCCATTTCGCTTGATCTTGTAGACCCATTTGTTTCCAATGGTCTTTCTTCCTTGTGGCAGTGACACAAGTTCCCAAGTCTTGTTCTTATGGAGAGCTTCAATTTCTTCCTGCAATGCTGCCATCCACAAAGATGCATCTGTGCCATTTATAGCTTCATGAAAAGTTGATGGCTCTCCATCTTCTGTTAGAAGACAGTATGCAACATTACTCTCCGTAATATACTCCGAGTGCCAAGTCGGTGGTCTTCTCTCACGAGTTGACCTTCGAACTTCTGGAGCCTCGGCCTCGACTGGTTCTTGTACATCATGCTCCGGTGTCGCTTCAGAAGAATTCGGATTATCTTCTACCTGAACAGCTACAGTCTCTGAGTCCTTCCTCGAACTGCTTTCTTTCTCTTCACTTTGTAGTTGGTTCTCTACAAAGATAACATCTCTGCTGATGATAACCTTGCGGGTAGTGGGATCCCACAGGCGATACCCCTTTACTCCATCAGCATACCCCAAGAATATGCATTTTCTGGATTTTGAATCCAGCTTTGTAATTTCTTGGGCATTGTACATTACGTACACTGGACTTCCAAATATATGGAGGTTGGAATAATCAGCTGGCTTGCCAGTCCACATCTCCATCGGCGTCTTCAATTGTATTGCAGTTGATGGAGATCGATTCACCACATAACAGGCGGTTTTTACTGCTTCCGCCCAAAAGACTTTTTCCAGATTTGCAGTAGCCAACATAGCTCTTGTTCTTTCCAACAGAGTTCTGTTCATCCGCTCCGCCACTCCATTTTGTTGAGGAGTATAAGCCGTACTGAATTGTCTTTTGATGCCTTCATGCTTGCAGAATGCTAGGAATTCACCGTCTGTGTATTCTCCTCCATTATCTGACCTTAAGCACTTGATCTTCTTCTCAGATTCAAGCTCGACCCGCGCTTTGTAGGCTTTAAAGACTGAGAACACATCCGCCTTCTTCTTGATAGGATACACCCAACATCTCCTGGAGTAATCATCAATAAAGGACACAAAGTACTTTACTCCTCCTAAGAATGTAACTGGTGCTTGCCATACATCAGAATGAACCAGTTCCAGAATAGCCTTGCTTCTAGAACTCGATGTGTTGAACTTCAGTCGATGCTGCTTGCTTGTAACACAATGCTCGCAGAATGGAAGAGCTACCGAATTAAGTCCAGGAAGCAGTTTCTGATCGGAGAGAACCTTCAAGCCTCGTTCTGACATGTGGCCTAGCTTGCGATGCCACATCATGGTTTGTTCTTCTCCACGGCTGGTTGATGCCACACATGAATCAGCTTCCTGCAGAGTCTCTCCCTTGAGCATGTACAGATTTGCAGCTACCTTTTCTCCTTTTATTACCACAAGCGCCCCTCTAACAATCTTCATGACTCCATTTTCTATATGAGTCTTGCACCCGAGCTCATCTAATTGTCCCAAAGACAATAGATTCTTCTTCAAGCCCTTCACATGTCGCACATCTTGAATGGTGCGTATTATACCATCAAACATTTTGATTTTGATAGTACCAATACCACAAATCTCTAAGGCATGATCATTCCCCATGAATACAGATCCTCCTGAGATAGGTTCATATTTGTGAAACCAATCTCTCCGAGAGGTCATGTGCCAAGAGGCTGCTGAATCTAGAAGCCAGACATCAGCAAACTTCTTTCTGCCTTCATCAACAGTGGTTGCTCCACTGAATAGAATTTCACCATCCTCTGACGTGCTGACAACGCATCCTTGAGATGTTGATGGCTCTGAAGACTTTTTATCTCCACTCTTCTTGTTGTGCCAACACTCCGATTTGACGTGCCCTCTTTTGCCACAGTTGTAGCATTTGATATTCTTCTTACTTCGTGATTTCGATCTACCATGGGCATGACTCCCACTGGAGCCACGTTCTGTTGATCTTCCTCTCGTCACCGACAAGGCCTCCGCTTGCTGCGAACTTGTCTGCCTGTCTTCCTTGTTCTTGCGCCGATTTTCTTCCTCCAGAACAGCGGCTGCAACATCGTCGAAGACTAGATTGTCCGTGAGGACGTTGTTCGTCAGGTTGATGATGAGTTGATCATACGAGTCAGGTAGACTCTGAAGTAGAAGTTCTGCACGTTCATTCGCACCAACTGTATATCCCAACGTTGTGAGTTGGGAGAACAGTGTGTTTAGGGTGTTGATGTGGTCGGTCATCGATGTAGATTCCGCCATCCTCAGAGTGTAAAGTCTCCTTTTTAAGAAGATTTTATTGTGCATGGATTTCGCCTCATATAGTTTTGTTAGAGTATCCCAGATCTCCTTTGCTGTCTTCTTCTCCTCTATGCTTGACAGCACCCCGTCTGCTAATGCCAGATGGAGATTTGCAATAGCATTTTCGTCCATCTCGTTCCACTTCTTATCATCTGTGATGTCGTCCGGCCTTGCACCGATGGCCGCCAGGCAATTATCTTTTCTCAAGATAGCCTTTATCTTCAACTTCCACAGTGAGAAATTACTCCCGTCGAATTTCTCGATCTTGAACTTCGCCGCCATTGCTTCTACCACGAATAGTAACTTCTTACTATTTCACGTAAATAGTAACTGTATTTATGAACAGTAACCGTATCTGTGAATAGTACCGTACTTGTGAATAGTACCGTACTTGTGAACAGTATCGTACTCGTGAATAGTATTCGTCGCCTTCAAATAGTAAATGATAACCTAACTTATTTTCTGATGTGGAGGATCCACCTTTGGTGGCAGCCACAGAGCATACGATAAGTAGATATATACAAGTACCCTAAGTTGGCTCTGATACCACTTGTTGGGACAAACCCGGGGCCTAATAGAGCAGGGTCGCAGCAATAGTAGAGCAAAAGTAGAGATAAAATGTTGGACACACAGATTTACGTGGTTCGGCACTTGATTGCCCACGTCCACGGGCAAGGATAGAAGAATTCACTATGAGGAAAAAAACTCTGGAGTTACAAACTCTCTCTTTACAAGGAGAAACTCTCTCTATTTTTTTCTCTCTCACTCTTCTTATATAAGAAGTTGTTTCTGGGATGAAATTTCCTTAAGGATTTGGAGCCCTATTTATAGTTTTTAGAAAAACACTATGCACAATAAAATATTAATATTTTACTGTAGCTGTGGGGTCCGCTCTTTTGTTTTCTTCTCAAATTTTCAACATATGTGGCTGTGCACTTTCGGTGTTCTTCTCAAATTTTCAACATATGTGGCTGTGCACTTTCGGTGGGTTTGGAATATTAGGCACCTGACATTATTAACTTCCAAATTTTGACCAGAAGTTGCATGTTTTTGTGCAGTGAAAGAGGTTGAGAAGACGACATCAGAAAAAGCTGCCTTAAACTCTAGGTGACTGATAATATCTCTTCGTTCAAAAAATAACTACTTCGTATGTGTGCACAACAGGATTCGAAGCTGGATCGATCTGACAAACTCTGAAATTTCTTTAAACAAACTAGAAAAGGGGGGGAAAAGGCATTAGAATTTAGCACCTCCATTTGGTCACCTGTGTTGATGAGGTACGAGTTGGGTAACGGCTTGACACGGACCCATTTACCGTCATGTTGTACTTCAAGACCATCGACGTCGTTCTGATAGAGGATACTGATTAGGCCGTGGTCAGAATGAGGGGGTAAGCCCATAGCCTTTTCCGGCTGTGGACATGGAGCATAGTGGTTTCCTACGACAATTTGGAAGCAATTGCCGAGGTTTAATGCCTCTCTCATGTAGTTATTGTCTAGTCCAAGACCCTCCCAGATCCCTCCAAGCAATTTCTTTCCTAGCTCTCTTATGCATGCACTGTACTCTTTCAGTTCTTCTCTGCAATATCAACATGAGACTATAAGGGAAAATCTCAACACTTAAAACTTTCGAGGTTGAATTTTCAACTTTTTAAATGTAATAACCATCATTCCTAAAAAATTATCTAACATACTTTTTGTTGGCTTTTTTGTGTAGGTATATACCTTTTAAAATATTTGTATTTACGAAACTACCCCAAATCTTCGTATTTGAAAAACTACTTCATATTATCAACTTAGGAGGTAATTAAAAAGCCCCGAAGTGAAAAAAATCATAGGCTTTGATAGTCTCATTTGTGACTTTAATGCAAAATTATGAACAAAATAGTCAAATTTTTACTCATGTCCAAAGTTAATTTGTTGATCAGAGGCCGGGATATTCTTTTTATAAAAGTTGATGACTTTATACTAAGGGCTATCCGCGATTTTCCCGAAACTTTCGAGGGGTGTGAATCTGTTACAAAATGCACTGGGATTATTCCTTACCTAAATTGCGGAGGCTTTGTAGGACAGTGAAACTCTGGGTGTGTCATAACTTTAAGATACTCCCTCCAGTATTTGTTATCATCTACCTTTGCATTGAAGCTGGTTCCGTATCGGATAGGATTCATCGCATGCGTGTCAGCGGAATCCTGTTTGTCTTCTGGCGGTAGGTTGAAGAATCCCTTGAATGTGTCCATTAAAGCATTCCTCAGTTTATCAGGTACTCCATGGTTCACAAGCTACAACGAAAGATGAGATAAATATTTAATATTATCATAGCGAGTAACCCACGTCAGTGCTGTAGTTTGAAAGCGAGGTTGTCATTAAAAGTTAGAAAATGCCACAAATTAACTCTCGAATCAACATAAAACTACCATGTACTATAGTAAAATTCCTCATGAGTTAAGTGCCCAACATGTTTATTTTTAAAAAATACGGTGAATTTACAGATAAATTCAGTAAACTACGTACCATGATATAATATGTGATTTTTCCCTTGGTCTAAAAGTTTATAGTATTTTGTCTAATAAAATTATTTTTTGGGAATGAAAACCTCTAATAATAGTTCATGTTAATTTTGAGAAATTTAACCTTATATATTACCTTCACTTTTATAGGCAGATCAAGGTATCATGTATGTATGTATAAAAGTGAAACAGTACTGGATTTTACCACAAAGAATCCCCAGTCTTCGCAGGCCTTGGCAAGTTCCTGAACAACCAGATACCGTTGATCAGGTGTTCCTTCAGTAAGCAGAGAGAAATCGATGACTGGAATCTCCACATCTTCGACTATGTTTTCAAGATCTTTGATTGAAGAGTTGTTATTGACATCTGAGCCATCTAGATGAAGAGGAGAAGCCATGATGAAGAGAAATGGGATGGAGTTACTAGCTATTTTGAGAACCAGGGATAAAATGATGAAGTGAAGGGGCGGATAGTGACAATATTGTTTGGTTCATAGTTTCGTATGAGAACAAAAAGCTTGGCGTACGTCCCTCTTCGACTTATATTAAAGGGAGAACGACGTCGCAACAGACGAAGGGTGGCTAATATCTGATTGAATAGTACGCTAAGAGGCCACCTGTATTATCGTCCAAAACTGAGGAAGGGCACTTGATTCCATAATCAATATTTGTAGGGTTAATTGCGGATATAACAGCTGTGTTATATATCGTCCAAAGCGGATACATCCTTGAAGCTCTATTGTTGCAGATGCACCCTAAGTGAACTATTTCTTTGATTCCTTTATCCTAGTTAGGAGGTGTGTTTGTTACAAATAATAATAATGATGATAATAAAAACTCTTCCTTTGATGGTAAAAGATCGAGTCAAAAAAAATCACTCATGGTCTATCCACAATTAGATAATAGTACACGGGTCTATCCAGAATTTACCCTTAACGGTATTAGGTTGCTCGGATATCAAACAAGATCTTCATATAAAAAAAGAGTCAAAAAAATTAGCTCAGGGTCTATCCACAATTAGATAATAGTACACGGGTCTATCCACAATTTACCCTTAACGGTATTAGGTTGCTCGGATATCAAACAAAATCTTCATATATAACTCTCCCTTCATGTGCAATCCTAGGATTCTTTTGTTTACATGGTAAAGCTAGAATCATGTGCCCACATGGAGATTCTTAACGTCCTTGGGACTTATTTAGCAGTAACAATTTTTTTTTAAATTAGCAAATTTGTAGTCAAGAAGGTTCGAATTTGGATTACCCTAATACCATCTTAAATTATCCGCCACAGTAAAAATATTTGAAGTTGTAATGAGAGTTGAGGATTATAGTTTTATATTCTAACAGAGATGATTCACCTTAAAATAATGTTTCATGCAGAATAATGTATGAGAAATTAAATAAGTTTAGCTGATACGTAAAAAAAACAGATGAATTTAGGCATGGATTCATATTTAGAGTCAGGACTCTTTGTCTGGTGAATAGGTTATTGAAGCCCTTTGCAATCTAGAATGCCTTATTTAGAGAGTTTCAACACTAACTCATTAGCATCTACCAAACAATTAATCCAGCAAAATCTATACTACTATAAAAAGATGATTGGGGTGTTAAAACTTTTAATTTCCTCTTTTGCCCTCTTAAATTTTGATAAATTCTAAGAATGCCATTATCTCTAATTATTTTTTTATTAAATAAATATAACCACCTATTAATTATGCACCTCCTCACCTTACTAAATAATTATAATTATCAATAATATTATAACTATTAGTTGTTTAATAATGATATAATATAATAATTTATAAAATAAGTATACACAATTACAATTATTAATAGTAACCAATTAAATTATTATTATTATTATTATTTATGAATTATAATAAATAATTAAAATAATAGTATATATAAAATAATGGACAAATTTTTAAAAAAACCCATTTTTAAAAATTATTAAGCAAAATCGACCCCATAGAAAGAAAATAAGCAAAACCGACCCTTTTGATGAGAAAAGGGTCGGTTTTACATTTTCGAAGTGTACGGGACTGGTAGTCCCGTACACTTCCTTCTCTCTTTTGTGCGCCCGTGACCCGTCTCCCTCAAAAAAAAAAACGCTGTCGACCCCGGATGGCGGGAGCGGTGATGGGAGGGGTGGTCCACACGGTGGTGGCCCCCGTCGAGCGCGCGAAGCTGCTGCTCCAGACGCAGGAGGGCAACGTCGCCTTGCTCGACCACCGCCGCCGCCGGTTCAGGGGGTTCTTCGACTGCATCGCGAGGACGGTGAGGGATGAGGGGGTTCTTTCGCTGTGGAGAGGGATTGTGGTATGGACGTCATTCCCTCAAATTAACCAGTCATTCCCTTTCCCTCTCTCATTCTCTCTTCCATTTCTCGCTCTCAGCTAGCCCGAGGCCATGCTCCGGTGGGAGAATCTCAGTGAGAAAGTGACCGAGTCCATTTGGGGAAGGAGAGGATAATAAAGGGGAGGGGATGGAGCCGGAGAGGGATTGAAGGAGACATCGAGGGAGTGGAGAGTGGGGAGGCGGGGGAGGTGAGACCATGAGACTGCACCTGTGAGGTTGTGAAAGGGAAGGTGGAGGTGGTGGATTCGGGAGCAGGGAGTTATTGTTTTGGGGAAGTTGGTGACTGTGCTGAAGGCTTTGAGGTGGGAACGAGAGAAAGGAGAGAGGAGGTTGAAGATGAAGATGATGATAATGAGTTTATTGGGATTTTTTTTTTCACGGGGGCGTCGTCGACAGCGTTTTTTTAGAGAGAATGAAGTGTACGGGACTACTAGTCCCGTACACTTCGAAAATATTAAACCGACCCTTTTCTTATCAAAAAGGTCGGTTTTGCTCATTTTCTTTCAACATGGTCGATTTTGCTTATTAATTTAAAAATAAAGGCTTTTTTAAAAATTTGTCCTAAAATAATATATTACTAAATACTATTAAGAATTATACTATAATTCAATGAGCAATAAAATAAAAAGAATAGATATTTGATATCATAAATAGTATAATTATTTTAATAATATCACATAAATTACGAATTACTCTATTTATTTAGTATTAGATTATTAAATAAATTAAATATAATTTAATATTATTTTTAGAATATTTTCTTAAAGATTATTATATGATACTGAATAATCTGTACTTAGTAATGATTGAAAACTAACATTTTTACAAAAAAATATTCAATATTAATAATAATACTATTAATTGTTAATGATAGTATAATAAAAATTTATAAAGTATTTATAGTACTAAATTATTTAATATCATAATTAAAAATTTTAAATTAGATAAACATTTTATAGTATATAGATAGTATAATTATTTTAAATAGTATTACTTGAACTAAGAATTATAATGTTAAATAAGGTACATTATAGTAAACCCCTATAAACTTTTATCATTTTGCAGTAAATAGGCTCTATAAACTTTCAAAATCCTCTAATAACTTTTGTAGAAAGCCCTCAATATCTTTTAGATAAATTACACCAAACCCCCCAATAACTTTCAAAATGCCTTTTATGGCATTTTCTAGCTGTAATTTATAGGGTTATATGCAAAATTTAGAAAATTATTGGGGGTTTTCTTTGAAACAAAAAAGTTATTAGGGTTTTAGTGTGATTTTAAAAGTTCGTAGGGGCTAAAAGTTCATAAGGGTTTAGTGTATTCCAAAGTTAAAGGTTACATCCCCACGTCTAGACTATAACCTGTTACAAACATAATAAAAATATAGGCATTAATTATTTAATTATGCTCCATATTATAAATTAATTATGCTCTGTGAGAATTTGAGTATATTCCATACTGTGAATTAATTATGCACAATATAATATAACATTAAAATATTTTTTAAAATTAATACTGATTCAAATTAAAGATAGTTTAATTATTCTAAAAAATTAACCATTTTAATGAAATATTCCATTTTCAGTGCTTAAAATTTTAAGACATTAAGATTATAGAGTTTCTTTATTTTTTTATATCCGAATAACTCTATTGTTTCCATCAAAACCATGAAGATGAAAAGAACGAAGAAAAAAAATAGGGCAATGCTAAATTCTCCAAACTAGGCCTCCACTACACGACTAAAAATGTTGCATACTTTCAGGCCTTGTTTTCTTAATTGTAGCGTGAAAATAGTTTGGAAAAAATAGTCTAGTCATCACTATGTAAATAATAATTATAATAATTTGAGAATTAATTAAAACTTTATAAATTATATATTTATCTATCTCCTAAAACTACCGGGCTTACTCCTGTAGAAAGCTACAGTAATATTTTATTTTGTCATTTTTTCCTCATTGTTTGATTTGTTTATGATTAATCTTTAGTTATTTGAGGGCCCTCTAGAGTATTCATGTGGGTAAGAACAATCAAATTGTGGACCCACGGATTTTACTGGTTGACAGGATGGGATATGGTAGATTCTTCTAGTGGGAGTTAGTGACTTCTTCTCTTAATTCGCATAAAATATTTTTGGATCCTAGTCACTTCTCCCTCCTACTCTTCTATTGCTCCTCAAGGTATTTCTTCTTCCTCCTCCTTTTTTTTATTTTGCAATTTTTTAACTTAATTTTACACGTTTTACTACCCTTCTGTCCACCCAAAAAAACACTTTTGCTTATGCCAAGTCTCACGCTTTATAAGTAACTTTTAAAAATCTGGGCTTATTGTGTGTTATTAGGATTGTTTATGTTGGTTCTTAGCATATTTAGATTAAGATATCATACTCTCTTTAAAAGCACAAGTTCCGAAAAAAATTCTTTCAGTAGACAAAAATATCATTGGAATTCAAACATTAATCCATTAAGTAAGAGTAAGTTGATAAATTTATGAATTCTTATTGGATATACATAGTATGAAGATAAGGATACAGTTTAAATTGAAATGTAAATCTAAATAAAATTTTTAAATACCAAATTTATAAATGTCTACAAAATAAAGTGTGTATATGCAAAAGCCAAATAAATTAATGAGATAAATAATGTCTGCCCCAAAGGTCAAACTCAGGAATAGCGTAGACCTATAAATGTACATAATATGGATGTGATATTTACAAAATTCACCAAACAAATTAAAAAGACAAAAGCCATTCTCAAAGTTATAATAAAAAATTTAAGGAAAACAAAAATCATACTCCATTTAAAAGCATGAGTTCGGAAAAAGTTTTCCATAGTCAAAATTACACTGTAATATTTTAAATATTTAATTTAAATTATTGTCTATCTTATCATAGTTATATCTTATCCTAATACCCTATGAACTATCTATAGCTCAATAATTTAAATAAGATTAATAAACATAGGAAACAACTCCATGGTATTAGTTTATTACATGAAGTATTACAAAAAAAGCAAAATGTTTTAAAAATTAGACAAAATACTCTCAAAAGTTTAAAATTACACAAAATAAAAAGCTGAAAATTTAAAACTTAGCAAAGGAAAGAGTAATTGTTTGATATTCTTTTATTAAGATATATAAATTTAACTTATATTTTAAGGTTTACTATCCTTTTTTAGAATCTAAAAAAAGTCAAGTTGATGCTAGTAAAAAAATAACAATAATAATAAATTAAAAATATCCAGTCAAAGAATAAAAAAATTAAAAATACATGATAGATTAAAAATTGATGTTATTGTATAAATTAAAGTAATTGTATATAATTTTATCAATATATTAGAGCAGCAAAAATACATAAGTATCATTAATTGATAGAAGACTAAATCGTAAAAAACTGATAAAAGACTATATATAATATAATAGCTTAACATTAATTGATTATAATTTATAAATATTGATCTCTAATGATAATAATATTTATAGGGTAAAAAATTACAAAGATTTATGTATGGAGAACTATCAGAAAATTTAGAGATATCCTTCAAAAGAATCAAGCAATTTTTATTTCAAATGGAATTTGAAACGTCCATGAATCACTTCAATTAACACTAACATAAGTTATACTTATCAAAGATGCACCAACTGAATCCCTCCTGAAGAATATATTGAATAACTTTGTTTCAATCAAAGAAACATTCTTCATGAAAAATAAAAGAAAAATTACTATGCCATGACACTGCGTAAGCAAAAAAAATATAAAATCGTATTTTTTTCTTATATAGTATCACGACCCTGCGTGTGGCTTTATTTAGGGGTATGACTACTAATGAATGATCAATTCTTAAAGACATGATCAAAGATAATGATGTAATAGCACTATTAGATTTTAAGATCTCTAAATATGAAGGTAATATATTTCATTACTAAAATTCTTATTAAAGACTACTAAATATAAATTCATCTTATATCTGTCTCAAATTTATAGAGGAGATATGCATGTCAAGTAAATTGTGTCAATAATATATATCAACCCAAAGATACAACTTACTGAAGAAATAAGAGAATAGTAAGTAAGCCAAGTAAACGTCCATATAACACCGTAAAAAAATATTATTTTTTAAAGCTAATATGCAGCACTCTTTCAGAGTAAGCTGCCAAGACAAAGTAATCTCCATTAATACTCTTTATAAATGCAACAGAAATTCAAATTACTAATATATACAACTATTATAACATTCGAAAGAGATATGATCTTAGAAAACCTACTCTAAAATTTATACAATTAAACATAAGAATAATTTATCAATATACAGACACACTATCATACCTTTAAGGCAACGATAACTACCATTTATAATACAGTTGAGCAATGGGTCGATGTTTGCAAATGTTACAACAAGAAAGTGGATAGAGATGTTAATAATAAGTGTCCAAATGATAAATGTTGTAGAATCGTCAATGATGTAGTACTAATATTAAGTGATATCCCTTTTTCATGAAATAAATATATTAAAATTAAACATTAATATTATAATCTAAAGTAAATTGACAATAAAAAAATATAATGTATTTAGTTCACATCCTCATGGAAAATGACGCAGACAGAGCAAAAGGTAACATTATGACATAGCAAAAATTCTTATTAGATGCACAACAGAAAATTCATTGCAGAGAAAAAGAGGTAGCTCCTAACCTTATTTAAGTAATAAATTAAAACGTAAAAAATTCATATATATGATATTATTGAAATAGGAAAAAAAATCAAAGTCCATATTGTCAGAATTTTGTGTTGAACATAAGAAATATATTCAACTTCTTTGTGAATTTAGACGAGAAGACAAAAGATGAATGAGCCTAAGAAAAAAATAACATGCTCCGGCCTCATATCACAGTCGATGTAAACGATGAAGGCACTACTCTAGAATTGCCCAGGAGTAAGATAAAGATGAAGAAAGATTGATCTCGACTCAATAAAGAATAAAATAGAAGCAATAAAAGATAATGTTTTGTGAATTGTTATAGAATAGTTTAATTTTTTTAGTAAAATTAGGAATATTTAGAATGGATTTTCATAAACTATTTTTAGTGCTTTCATATGCATATGTGGATGCTTTTATCATATAAAAGTATACTAGAGTTAGCATTAATCTTTAGTTTATGATTTTTCATTAACTATTTTCTGTCATTTTATCCCACTTAAATCAATCATCTTGGCTCGTTGGCTTTACTATTCATCTTTCTTTTATAATATAATTGTTTCAAGTGTTTTCACTTTCATAACACTATACTTCCTTAGGTCAAGCTCAGTTTTATGCCGATCCAAATAAAATAAAAATTTAAATTAGCTTTAGATTATATTTATCTCCTCACAATTCAACTATCAATATATAAATTTAAACTAGGTGTAGCATATTCAAACAAACATCAAATAAATAAATAATCAAAGTGTAATCGATGAACAAATTTTAGTAAGAAAACAAACCAAAAAATTTAATTTAAAATGAGCAAAAATTATCGAAGTGTAACCGAAGAACAAATTTTAATAAGAAAATAAACCACAAATACCTAATAACATTATTTAACCACGTGCATTGCACATGCATAAAATCTAGTAGATAAAAATGTTGAGGATGAGTTGATTCTGCTTTAGGAACTATTTCTTCAACTATTAATTGGTACTTGTCTGATCACATGATCAAATTTATGTGGTGTTATCTATAATTTAATATTGGAACTTGATTGAACTAGCCGGACTTTGGAAATTGGTAGAAAATGTTTATTTTTTCGCATTTATTCATGTGTGTTCTTGGTGTTTCTTTCTATTTTTATCTCTTTTTTACCGAAGGTAAGTAAAACTAACCTTCAAGGAGGTGATTTGGATGGCCATTGTTGAGAACAATGTTAAATTTATGGTAATTGGTGTGCCGGTAGAACCGGAGAATTTGGTTCTTCTTAACATGGTTTTCTTAAATTGGGGAAGGAATTTTGGTGTCGTGAGCTACTCATGTGTGATAATGATTATTTCTATTTGTTGTAGACTTTGTAATTAAATATGGGTCTTTCTTTTGCTAATGAGAAATCTGTTTTCTAGTGTTGTTATGCTTGATATAACTTTTTCATCGAGTTGTTTATCAATTTATAAGGCACTTTGATCTCACTATATTCTAAGCTTTTCCTACAGAAATGAAATTCGCTATTTCAAATTTGTGAAGCTCCATAAAAGAATGACTAAATATTTGCAAATAGATTACACGTATATGTATGTAGTGTATTTTAAAACAATTGTTTAAATCAGTAATTTCCTTGAAAAATTCACACTAATGCCACCGCAACGCTTGGATTCAGCTCGTTATGCGCTATATGCGAAAGAAAAACCCTAATAAAATGTGAAGCAATACGTTACTCCAGTGCAGAGAGAGGCCCAGACGCTTGGTTTGTGTTACGTGTCCGGTCACCACCGATGAGCTCACCGGCGAGATCATCCGCATCAGCGACGAGCGCAGGTCAAGGAGGCGGCGGCAGCACCAACGCCGCCTTCGGTGACGACACCTCCCCTTACCACTTCCCTACCGATCTCGTCTCTCCTCAAGAGCGCAAGGAAGAAGCCCTCGCCGGTAACCGATCCCTTACCCTCACCGCAGCGGATTTCAATCCTTCTCTCTTAAAATTAGGGTTTTAAAAAAATCAATTTTTTTCCTCTCTAGTTTTGAAGTCGGATCTAATGGAGGCGCTTCAGAAAGAGGTGAAATCGCTGGACGAAGATGATTGGATGTTTTCGGGTCCGCGATCGCAAATTAACCTAATTTCGAGACCCGGTATGTATAGTCTCTGCTCTATATCAGTGAATTTGTTGTTTCGATTGTGTTAATTAACTGAATTTAGTATAGAACAATAACTTAATCCTGATTTATGATCCAAATGTTTCTAGATTTTTCTTGTCTAGGAAAAATTTTGATTTTTTTGGCTTCTCAGTAGGGTTGATATTAGATGGAAATTGGCTACAGACATTTGAATTTGGTATCAACAAGTGCTTATCATCACTATTTCTGTTCTCTGTATTTTCAGTTGGAATGACGCTGGCTCCGGTGCACCAGCACAATACTCCATTGGAGATTGGACAAGGGACGGGTTCTCAAGCTCCTCTATGTGAAATTCCTAGTCAAAGATCCTATAGGCAAGAGAGGGGTTATCTCTAATTTATCGAAGGACATCAACAAACTAGGTAGCCTACTTAACCGAGGATCGATTTCAAATTCTTCTACATCAACAAAGCACTCCAAGGAGGGAAATGTGACATTGATTATTGAGTTAATATTGCAGTATATGGCCTCTCTACAACTCTAACCAAGCACATTATACATGCAAATTTTTAGATATATGGAAATTAGTTGCCCTTTATTTTTTAATCTTGGATTCATTGAAGAGAAGCGCAGGTTCCCTCCGCTGAATTTTCGTAGGTAGTTTCTTATAACAAAATGTAATTCTCTAGCATTATAAACTTCTGCTGTGTCATCTATGGAAATTAGTTGCCCTTTATTTTTTTAATCTTGGATTCATTGAAGAGAAGCGCCGGTTCCCTCCGCTTAATTTCCATTTCTAGTTCCTTGTAATGAAATGTAACACTAGCATTATAAGCATCTGTTGTGTCATCTTGTGTCTGCTATATGCAGTCTTGTGTGATTATTTTCGTCATTTGTGGCACCAACATTATACTAAAGCATGATATAATGATATCTGCAGAACCTTGCAATGGTATCCATAGTGCCTCGAGCCAGTGGTGCACTTTTAATACTCCAGCTGATAACTAGATGTTACATATTTATACATCTGAAGTGATAGATATCATATCATACATTTGAATCATCAGTTTGTTAGATAGCAAATTGGATGTTGCCACCCAGGGATGGCCTACAGCTTATTACGAAACCAGTAGGACAGAAAGGTTTATTTTTATTTTTTTCTAAACCTCGATATCCACAACCTATAACCAAGATTTTGGTGGCAGTCGTGGAGACAAATATAATTGAAAAACAAAATGGCATTTTGTAGATCTATAACATGTGGGGAAATTTTTGTCTCATAGGCACATGCTTGAGTGTATTAACACATCAACTTTATCTGGACCACTAGGGTGTAGAAAGCTACTAATTTGATGATATCCTCGAATTTGTGGGCTCAAGATTTCAATGGTAAAGACAGTGAACTGAATTTTTTTTCTTGAAGAAATTAGGAACTAGTAATCATTCACAAATTAACTTGATGACAGGTAAACAAACTCGTGTCAGCCCTCCAAGCTAATGTCAAACCTCTAGTCAAAGAATATACCATGCGCAAGTCTACAGCGGTCTGTAAACTCTCGGAGGATAGTGAAAAATAAGGATCATGCCTTATTGACAAATTATTTGTCATATGCAACACCTCATCAAGGGATGTTGAAGCTCCATTACATTAAAAAGGCTACATAGTAAGGGAAAATATTATTGGTTTTCCCTATGGAATTATTTCCAACTATACTGTACAATAGACAGTATAAGTTCCAAATATAATAGATTTCTCCGATCACTTTTTACATGTAAATTTTGGGATATGAATTTAATCATTTTTTTTATTTCCGTAAATTTTGATTCATCCTGTTGAAGCATCAGTCTGTCAGCTTCACTTTCTTTGTTGTACTGAATCTGATGATGACAGAATGTAACTCCCTAGTATTATAAGTTTTTCTTCGTGTTTGCGTCCACTATATATGTTTTCATATGACTATGTAGTTATTTTGCTGCTCTATCAGTATACTAGAACGGTAACCATGATTAGTTGGCTATCTTTTGCTAAATCTTTGCAATATGCAAACATAGCGTCTCAAATCTATGACACATTTTTAAGTAGCTACACATTCATGTATAGATGCAAAAGATAAAGCACACTGAGGCACTCCATGCAAGGGTAGCAAGTTTGGTATCAATTGCTAGCTAACTCTAAGCTGTTGCCAAATCTTCGGTGCAGGTAGGAAATTTGATGCTGTCACCTGGGTAACCTGTGACCTACGAACAAAACTTGGACATTATTCCAGGTTGCAAACAGATAACAAACTCACCTAAATTCTGTCCCCTCAGGTATGCTTGCATTTACACAGGCATAAACTTTATGTGAATCGCAGCGGCAGAAAGATACTAGTCTGAGATATCCTTGCGTTACTTGGCTCCATGAGGTTTCTGTGTGAAAGACAATGAATGGGTGATTTTAGATAAAATTTTCTTTTTTAAGTACAAAGTAGGGACCTGTAGTGTAATCTCAACACAATTTTTATATATCCAGTGAACAAACAATCAGGACTTCTGTGGTTTCAGGTTGGCCGTGTTTGCTGTGGGAATTTGTATGAGATTTTTAAGGTTTTAATGTTTTATGATATATAAACAGTTTGTTTCCAATTTTCCTGTTGCGTTGTATGAGTGGAACTGTGTTGGAAAGTTACAGTTGAATTTCTGTTTCAAGAAAACACTGAGAATTTGATTGAGTTTATAATACTGCTTCTTTTCACTATCATAGTTTTTCCGTTACTGACCCTTACTTTTGTCTAGGGGCCAAGCTGAGGTGCGGGCAGGAAAACATTGAGAGATGAATCACCATGGCAAGCAAACAACTCATTTTGAGAGGTGATCAGCATGAGGTTATGTAGTAGTGAAACGGTTCTATGTCCTCTAACACAGATATAGCCTCTTGATTGTTCTTTGTTGTTGACTTGGTGACCAATGCTTAAGAAATGTGGTAGTCTTGAGCGTATGCTTTATGCAACTTCTCGTGCATGGTTGTACATTTCCCTCCCTTTCTCAACAGTGATACTCGGCTCTAGCTGCAGTTTGCTTTCGGCTGACTGTTGCTATCTAAACCCAATCCCAAACCCACCCCCATACCCTCCATGGTGTTTAGATAAAGCTAGTTTCTATTTTTTGTCTTGTCAAACAGTCTTCTTTTAGTTAATCGATCTTCTTCAGCTTGTGTAGAAATTTGTCATTTGCAGTATTTAAAGATCAATTTCTATTTATATTTTGAACTGTCATGAACCGAGAATTATACATATCTTTATAATTATGGCCTATTTTCAAACCCACCCCAAAAAAAACATCCAAAAAAAAACCAATGAAATGTTCGGTGAGCGTGAACCGCCTAACTTCATGTTTGAGCATGAAATATAAAATCCCATATAAACACAGTGTATCTGACTCCAATTTGTGGGTCATTAGAGGGTGAAGCGGCCTTCACAATGCGAGCGTAAGGTTAGCGAGTAGCAACGGCCTCGCCTCTAGCAATGCATGGAGAGAAAAGAAAGAGGAAACAGATAGTTTAGAAAATTGTATTTCTGTAAGCCCCTTCGACTTTATTTGGAGACGAGAGAATGATTTATATCAATAAACAGATAGTTTAGAAAAGTGAATTTCTGTGAGCTCCTTGGACTTTATTTGGAGACGAGAGAATGATATGCATCAATTTACCAACCTTGCACATCGTGAGTTTCTTCAATAGATCAATGGAAGTCTAGTAGTACGAGGGTTAACTGCGAATAGACACCTTGTAGTATCAACCAATTGAGGATAGATCTCAGATAGTTTTATTTGTTGTGAATACACCTTTTATAGTTCTATTTGTTGTGAAGAGACTTCATGAGTGATTTTTTTACTCTTAAAATCTTTAAAATGTTCGAGGAGACGGATAGACCACCAATAGTTCTATTACTGAGAATAGACACTCATTTGCTATTATTTTTAATTTTACTTTTAAAAGTGTCAAAAAAAAGTTCACCAATCACCAAGAGAGTGTATATGTGCTTGGGCCAATACAACATGTATCTATTCACAATAAATAGAACTATAGGGGTCAATTCGCAAAGAATATAATTATAGGACTCTATTGGCAATAGGGTGATACTATAAAGGGTTGCAATTAGAAAAATGATAGGGACACACCCCCAACCACACATCTAACCACACCCCCTCTCTCATTTGTTACAGTGCACCGGGTCCCACATGGGATTTTAAATTTTTAAAATCCCATGTGGGACCTGGTGCCCTGTAGCAAATGAGAGAGGGGGTGTGGTTGGAGGTGTGGTTGGGTGTGTGCCCCTAGCGCCACCCTTGCAATTAACCCCTAGCTTGAAGTTAATGGTGACTTTTCTCTGATTTATAAAGTCCAAACTGACTTTGTGCAAAAGCATACTGCTCATGGGAGGTTTGTGAAATTTATCCTAAACTTAGACGTAAGAGCATCTTAATTCAACATCCACATTCCACACAGAAGGTATTTGAAACCAAAGAGAAATTTTATACTGGGGTTCAAAAATTAAATTTCCCTTGTAAGTCGCATTAAAATCTAATTAATTAGCTATACGACTTGAATCTCAACTTGAACAGAAACCCCGTCCAGTTGAGATAGACCTCGTATAGTTCTATTTATGCAAATAGAACGCTGGGAGTAATAACTTGAGTGTAGATAGAACCCATGATAAACTTTTTCGACTTTTTTTAATGTTAAAAAGGATAAGCTACTTGGAGTCTATTCTCATCAATAGAACTATAAGATGTCTGCATCTTCAAAACCTTTATGATTATTTTAAGAGTCAAAAAATATTCGCATAGAGGGCTTATTGTCATAAGTAAAACTACAAAGGGTCTATTGCAATTAGACGACAGTGCATGAGCTTTATTTGTAATTAACTCATTTATCAGACAGTCTTACAAATACAACAGATCTCTCGAGATACGTGGGACCTCACGCGAAGAAATCGTGCCTCACACGTTGCCACGTGACAAAAGTCAGTCGTCCATGACGCCGTCAGTTGCCTATAACGGATCCTTTCGCCTTTGTGCTGCGAATCTCCGACGAACGTTGTTTTGAATTTACCGGATTGACCCTAGTCTATAAATACCCTCCTCCGTTCCTTTCTCTTTCGTCGACTCCTTCAGCGAACGCTCCCTCTTTCGTCTCATACGAAACTTCTCACCTCTGACGCTGATCCAGCTAGAGCTCGGGTTAGGGTTTCGAAGGCGATCGCCATGTCGGTGAGCATCGATTCCTCTTCTTTTAAACGATCGTATTATTTCATTTTATTTTTGTTTAATTGGGAATTTGATGCTGCTAGGGTTTTAGATTTGTTTATGGAAAGTTTTAGTCAGTGATTTGGGGATCGGATTGGATCTGCTGGATCTTTGTCCTTTCGAGCCGTTCGGTTCGAGGTTTTGAATATCCGAATACGGCCAATTTGATTTGATGCTTTGTTAATCTTTTATGTGAGATTATTAGTTTCCGATGATTATTAATTGGCGTGAAATTTTCCGGATATTGAGCACTTTCATTGAGCACATAAAGGGATTGTGTCCTAGAAATTTCTCACTTGTATAATTTCGATCAAGTAAGTAGGTAAATGTTATGATCTACGTTTAGTTTGATTGTAAACAATTGCACTCTGGGAGGCTATATCTGAAAAGGGTAGAAAATTACTGTTAGGTATCTTAGTATTAATTTAGATGACCTAGAGATAGGTTTGAGCTTAGAATAAAAGCACAATAGTGAGGGGTACGGAGTACATTGGTGTTTTATTTTCTCGAGAATGGATACTATCAGTAACCGCCAATGCTCTGTGTAGGAGTGTGGATAGTAGGTATTCTTATTGGAGACATATTTGAAGTTAACCGATAAGCTGTTAATGTAGACAATGAGTTCAGCATAGTGGAAGAAATTATGTCTGCTAATTGGAATCCCAGTTACAAGGACTTGTACTGGAGTAGATTTCATATCAATTTGCCAATAATTTTGTTTGCTATTATGGTTCACATTAATATGATCCGGATGGAACGTGGTGGTTAAGGTTCTTATGATTTTGTTGTTCTAACATCATGGTATCTAGCTTCAAAGTCCGATCTTCAATCTATATGATCGTATATGTTTCCTAAAATCGTCTTTCTTTCTCCTATAACCTCTACATTCATTTGTTGATAGTATCCGTTGATTGTGGAGTGACTTTTACTCGCAGCTAGTGTTCGCCTTTGTTCTATAATGTTCCCAAAACTGCAAATATCACATTAGATGTTTCAGTTTGGAAGTGAAATATAATTGCCATTTGAACGTGATGTCTTATGGTGGACCGTGGTATGCCTATATAGGAAGTAGAAAGAATGCCTCTTGAGATGTCTTAATCCACTCTTCCTCAAAACTTCAAGGATTATTGCTACACTAGTAGTCCATTTAATTTGTTTTTCTAGATTTTAATATGTCAGTATGTCACCCGTGTCACTTTTACTTAAAATGCATTTTTCTTTAATAAGAGTGGAACTTCTGAAGTGTTTTTTTTAGCAGCCACCATGTCCCTTGGCGTCGTCTTCTCCAAAAGTTATGTGTAAATTGAATTTTCATGTTTCTTTGTGTTTTTGTAAAGCATATGTAACAATTTTTATTTGAACATCGATAAAATTATTATCATTTATGAAGGTTGTGCTTCTTTGACCTTCTAGCCTGGTGTTCAATTCGAAAAAGTTCATTTTACCTTATCCTAAAACCATTAATTTAACTCCATATTTTTGTTTTGGAAAGACAGTTTAATAAATAATTTCTTTTGTTAATATAGTTAGAATGCATACTTTTTTTAAATCTTTGGAAGTGCATAATATGTTCTTAGATGTTGTGTGACAAATAAAATGGTTCTTTTGTTTTTGCAATGGCATGACACGTAATGAAATGAAATGCAACACTGCATTCAGTCTAACGGTGCTATGCATGCATCTTTGTGGAATACATGAATCTTGAACATGCATCTTTGTTATAAACCTATTATTTTCTTTTCCACAGCCAATGTAGGACTCAATGTTTCAAATTTTATACTCAGTTTTGTCAGCAAATGGAACTTTATGTTTCCTATTATTAATATGCTCTGAAATTTCATGATTTGCATGGGTTTCATCTACTTTTATTGTACTTGATTTTTTTTCTCCATACACAATGTATTTCTTACACTTAAATCCATTGGTAAAACTTGATGGTTCTCTTTAAGATAAAAAATTTAGTTGAATGCCTTTATAGGGTTCTTTTATTTTCTACTGAGTAGGGCATGATGAAAATTTGTACAAAAGGTGCAAACATGTTTGTGAATATTTTCGATTAGCTGCTTTTCAGAAAAGGGCTGATTACTTTTTTGCCATATGATGAAGGAGATCTTACTCTATATGCTCATGATCTTGGAAATTTTGCGACTTATGTCTTGTGAATAATATGTAGTTGGATGGTATTGAAGAATAACACTTGAATCCAAACAATACAATGGAATATTTCTTATAGCCAGCACGTCGCATGATTATACAAGACAAAAGTGTGAGAAAGCTGCCTTTTGTGAATAATATTAAACTTATATCATAAAGAATTTTAATTGTTAAAATTTCTCAATGTCCTATCCTATCATACAGTTTTCAAGGTGAACATTTTAGTATTCAACCTTATGTAAATTATTTGATTGTTTGCTTTAGTAGGTGCTTGCATATCACTGTGTACATATTATCATCTCTTAATCCCACTCCCTGTCTTGATCTTTTCCATGATTTTATAAAGATTTATCAATTGCTCTTTTATAAGTAAGAATACCATGCTACAAGCTAAGATATCATGAACAAGCCTTTTCAACTTCAGATCATGTGTTATCATAGAATTATAAAAGGCTAAACCCACAAGTTTTCTTACAACGGAAAATAAATAAAAAATGGACAATTTTTTTACTTGCAAACTTAATAGTATGTGTGTCTATAGCATGAGGTAAAAAGGTTTCCGTGTGTTCTTGATTATATTTTGTGTATCTTATATTTTACTGGTGATTATACAATAGGCAAAACTTGGAAAGGCGCATGCTTAAAGCATAAGCTTGACCTAGTTAGCTTAAGAAGTAATAAAAATGAAAATTTTAAATTCTCTTTTGGTGCTTCTCACCTTGCTGCATTTATCATATTATTAAACTAACTGACGTAGAGGTATCATAGTGTACGGTCTGTGCTCAAAGTAAGCATGACACCTAGTCAATGTTTAACATAAAAAAGTTTTTTTTTTTTTTGGTGAGACAGAATAAATGAGATGTGGACTGCAACTTTTGCGGGCTCATTATGCTGTCAAACCATGCACGACCTATCTCAAGCGCGTAGCTTCAATTTTTATTCTAGAATTTCACAGTTTTATCTAATATCATTTCTCCTAGGGTTGTTGCTCCGTGGAGTGTGGCTAGCTGATCCCTCTCAATCGTCTTTGGCGGTGATGATTATATAGTGTGGGTGGGTGGGTTTGTTGCCCTTGGAGGAGTAATTAACTTTGAAAGTCTCTGTCTGTTATTTGGTTTGGGAAGGGGTTAATTATCAATGAAAGTGTTCCTGTAGCAAGTTCAACTTCCAATTCCAATGATTTGTACTACCAGTTTTCTCAATCATATAGCAAGTTTTGGAAGTGGTAGTTTTTCATATCATAATCCAACAGCAATTAGACAAGAAATTGTTAAGGTTATTGAATGTCAGATTTCAGCCATTAAAACATTAGGGCTTCAATAATATGTTTAATCATACATTTTTTTTCATTGCTTTGCAGTTTTTCTTTGTGTTCATTCAGCTTTTACTAGGTTACTTGACTAGGATAATTGGTTTCTACTCAGAAAAAGTATACCATTATTGTATGTTGGACATTTAGTGCAATTTTATATACTGATACTTCTCCACCAGTTTTTCTGCATATTGTTCACATATATTCTTTTATCTGCTATATATGTGACGAAGGCTTTGTTCGGCAAAGGTTTAAGGTAGAGGGATTAAAGAGAAGGGTTAACATAGTTAGCCCATTTGTTTAGTTGTTAACCCGTTAAGTAAGATTTATTTTTAACTATTTTTAACCCTTGTGATCATTTTTACTGGTTGAGAACAATGAGGATTTGACTATTTTCTTTATAAATAAAGGGGTTAACTCTTAACTCACCTAAATAAGAGTATTGGTAAACCCTTCATTTTGAGGGGTTAATTCCATTTTAGCCCTTCTAGAGGAGTTATCTTAACCCTTCTGCGTTTCTTGTGTTTGGCAAATTATGAAGGGTTAACTCACTTTAATCCTTGTATAATTTTTTTTGTTTGGCAAGTTAAGGAGATGTTAGGTCTCCTTAACCGCTCCCTTAACTCATTGCTAAATGACAGCTTCATGTTGTCAGCTGTGTAATCACAGTTCTCTTAGAGTTAGAAAAATCTGTCATCAACTTTTTGTCAAATAGCATGCTCATTTTTCCACCTTTATCATTAGTCACCGTCTGGAGGTTTGAACAGGTCACCCTCAGTTAAGCATTTACTCTTAAGGTTTGTTTGCCTAAAAATATAGGAAAAGTAATCTGTTGTAAGAAATCATATCCAATGTTTTCCATTCATATCTTGGAAATGCTAATTTTGTGTTTGGTTCACCATGATTATAGGAAAGAAAAAAGTAGAAAAATGTAATATCTTGAAACTCCAAAAATAGGAAATCAAAACAAGTAAAAGAGCGAGATATAAAGAGAGAGGGGGAAAGTTGAGGTGACATTATAAATTGGAGAATCGCTAGTTTTTAAACTAGACATCCAAATGACCCAGTAAAATCATAGTTTGGAACCTAACCTATGTCCTATGGGTTTCCAGAAATTGATGTGACGTGATGGATATATGTTCAAAAAAATGTATGACAAGTGTTTTAAATTAAAACATGTATTGTATAATTGAGTATATGCTCGAATAAATGTATGCATATATGCAAGGAGAATCCGAGGAGTTTGGGTACTGGTACGTGTCAGGCATGGTACGGCGGTCAGACAGAAGTACCCAGGTAATATAGGGCCCAACCAAACAGCCCCTTAATGCTTAAGGTGCTAATCTGCATGCCTTGATTATGCTAACTTGTTTTGCATGTACTACATGTAAGAACAATGCGTTGCAGAATAGGGAGAATGCACCCTAGTTTGTTGTTACATTTAGAATGCTTATAGGTCACACTTTCTACCTTTTAGATATTTCTTATTTTGATCAGACAGAGAGAAATCTATTCTCTAGTCCAAACAGTGCTGTAAAGAGCCCTAGGTGGGGCTGGAGACATAATGGAGGGTTCTTTCTTGCTTGAACATATTTCACCATCAGCAATAAGATAGGCCTCCTATTTACATGTTGTCTTATAATCTTTATGCCATCCTTCTCTCTACTTCTGAGTTTCCTGAGATAGGTATCCAGCCCAAAACAGATGTTGACGTCGGATTGAAGGTGGGAACAAGGTCAGCATTTTCTGTTTTCCTTACTTGCATAGTTGTATAGTAATCTACCTCACTTGCTGGAGAAAGTGTCTTAAACTAGAATTCGGTGGTTACATTTTCTATGGGAATTGTGTGTAATCACATAAGTTAGTAGGCTACTTTTTCGTTACCCGAACTAGAGCTTTACTGGAATCACTGAGGATGAAAGACTCAAAATGTCGTCCTCTGAAGGCCACATCTTGTTTTCAGACTAGTACAATTCAGGCACATAGCTCTAGAAGTTGGGTTCAGCCTAGCATTTTGACATTTTAGAGAGCTATTTAACATATCACATGTACATGTTGTCTTCCTGATACATGAGTACGTGTACATATGGAACAGGACCATTATACATGTGTCCTCTTGAGATGATACTGTTTTGACTTTGGTATTGATCTCTTCTTATCTGAGCTCAGCACGCTGGGTTAAAAGTACGTCAGGCATCACAAACTTGAACTTATTACTGAATGTTCACTTCAATTACATTAATATTTATATATTTTGATACTTTGAAAGGTTATATTGATGCTATGTGATTTGAATCCAATAAAAAATCAATTCTACTGCATAAATCTGTTAATTTGTCTTTTTGGGAAGTGCATTTGTATAATGTTCCTGTTATCAACTTATCCTTCAAAAAGCTGCAGGTAAGGACAGTGAAAGTCAGCAATGTTTCTCTCGGTGCTACTGAACAAGATATCAAGGAGTTCTTTTCCTTCTCTGGTGATATCGAATATGTTGAGATGCAAAGGTTTTTATTCAATCCTATTTTCTAGCTTCGGCACCTATATCCTTTAATGGCCATAGACTGAGCTTATTTTTACATATTCACAGTGGGGACGAGTGGTCACAGATTGCATTTGTTACCTTTAAGGATTCACAGGGAGCAGAGACTGCAATTCTTCTTTCAGTAATATCTTAATTCCTGAAACTTCCTTTTCCAGCTTCATGTATTACTTGTATGCTTGAAAATCACTCTCCTAAAGTTCACCATTATATTTATATGAGATCACATTTTCCATAGTTCTTGATCAATGATGACAAATCAGGTGATAAATTTCTTTCCCATTGAACTGAGGAAAAGTTGGTGACTTATTTTCCTTCAATTTCCCTAATCCTATTCGTTTACTCCCAAGTGGAATTTGGCTAACTTTTCTCAAGAAAAATCATATATTCTTCTGTCCAAGCAATTACTTGATCTTCCTGTCAAACTTTCTAACGTACTCTTAATAAAATCTTTTTTTGATGGATGAAATAGGTAATACATGCTGTTGAGGTATATGTGATTAAATTATTACGCTCTAGTGTGTTTATATATAGTTCAACGAGGATTAAAACTTTATTGTTTATGGCACAGGGTGCGACAATAGTTGATCTGTCTGTCATCATTACACCAGCCCCAGAATACGTGCTACCTCCGACAGCCATAGTTGCCTCAGTGGTAAGTTTCATACTTGTCATATGCATGTTTATGTTTGCTGGACATTCAACAGTTAATCTCTGCATCCAATGCAGGATAAAGATGTGAATCCCACAGGACACCCTGAATCTGCCGTCCAAAAGGCTGAAGACGTTGTCACCAGCATGCTCGCCAAGGGCTTCATCCTAGGTAAAGACGCTGTCGGCAAAGCCAAAGCTTTTGACGAGAAGCACCAGTTCACATCCACTGCCTCTGCGAAGGTCGCCTCCCTCGACAAAAAGATTGGGCTGAGCGAAAAGGTTACCATGGGCACTTCAGCGGTCAGCGAGAAAGTCAAAGAAATGGATCAGAAGTTTCAGGTCTCTGAAAAGACTAAATCGGCCTTTGCAGCTGCTGAGCAGAAAATGAGCAGTGCAGGTTCTGCTATAATGAAGAATAGGTATGTTTTTACCTCGGCATCGTGGGTCACTGGTGCTTTCAATAAGGTTGCTAAGGCTGCGACTGATGTGGGCTCGAAGACAAAGGAGAAGGTTGTGGCTGAAGAAACACATCATAAGGGATTGGAGGAGAACTTTGCTCAAGTTCATCTGTCTGAGCCCCCAAAATATGCACCTGAGGAGCCTCCTTCAAAAGCTGCATCTGGCGAGCATGCATCAAAGCCTGCACCCGCTGAAGGTTTGATACTATGATTTCATGTTAGCGTTCGACATAAGTTCTGTTAGGATTGGTCATCTCCTGGTTTCATGGTGATGCTGTGAGATTGATGACTGCCAAGTACTCTGTCTTTTAGATGTGCTTTGGTTTTTTTATGAGATTGAACCTCTGGCGTCTCTTGGTATGGCTACCTGTTTGTTAATTACTTTGGTGTCAAAGTATAGGAAGAGTTTCCTTATTTTTTTTTTTAAATCGGACCAGTTGTTATACATGAATGGTGTAATTAATGGTCTCTTGCCTTCTCTTTCTTTCCCCTTTCTGTTTCGAATTCGACGGTGGTAGGGAACTTAGATGTCTCCGGTGAGTAGCGGTGTCTTGAATTATATTTTGCTTTATTAGGTGTGTAAAATGAATCAATAATGGAAAGTAAGGTCTGTATGCAACCAGTATTTTATGGAATATGGCCAAAACCTGATGATGCCCACAAGGGAAGACGTTAAAAAACTTCGCGTGGAACTACTGAGATCGTCGGGTATAGAAACTTTGGTGACTAATTGTCTGGACGGATTGGGGCTTCTGATTGGCGACCGCGACGTGCAAGAGAGGAGAGGAGAGCAATCGCGATTACGGAAGCGAAGAGGAGGCTGGAGGGGTTTTTTGGGGAAATAATCGATGGTAATTGGTAACTTACAGAAAAAATAATTGATCTGAGGTTTTTGGGGGGAGAATAATTGATGGTAATTGATAATTTACAGAATACATAATTGATTTTGGGTAAACGGGATGGTAATTAATAATTTACGGAAAAGATAATTGAAATTGGGTATACGGGACGGGCATGACCCAGTTAGATGTTTACTTTCAAAAAGGGAGGCACCAGGGGCACACCCTCTACCATACTCCCAACCACACCACCTCTCTTGCTACAGTGCACGGGGCTCACATGAGATTTTAAAATTAAAATCTCATGTGAGCCCCGTGTACTGTAGCAAGAGAGGTGGTGTGGTTGGGAGTGTGGTAGAGGGTGTGTCTCTATCGTTATTTGGTCAAGGGACCGAAATTGTACGGAGAGAAATGCGGAATTTCGAGCCTGATCAGATTTATCAAATTGGGTTTCTTTGGTGCCGGTCGGAAACCTGACCTCCGTACGCCCACTGCACATCCTGGGAGACTCCCACGAGTTACCTAGTTGTCGTATACATGACAAGATTCGAACACTATGCTTAAAACTGACCACTTCCTTAAAAAGCAATCGAAACGGATCGACCCAATAAAATTCATGTATAGATAAGTCCCTTTCACTACTGAAGTTACTGCTTTTCTCGACTTCACTTAGCAGAATGTCAAGTCCCTCTCATAAGTTCCTTAACTACGACGACCAAACCAATCCCCTATTTAAACAAAGTCTTAATTCCTGCTTTATCATCTCCTCTACATTCTGTGAAAAGAATCTAACAACATGGAGATCAAGCCATCATATTTATCTAATTTACTTTATAATTTCAGTAGGTGAAGGGTCAATTTGAAGTGGAATGATTCATGATCACGACATTTTTTTTTTTGTTCGGTAGACGAGGCTCGTGAAATCAAGAGTGATCCCTGCATTATTATAGGAAATAACAACACATGTGGCTGGTATCCAATCACCATCGGCAAATATGTTGTTGAATTTATATTTTTACCAAATGAGAAGAAATTATCTATACCGAAAATATCTTTTATGCTTAGAATAGGAAAGGGTTTCACCCTTACTCCCGCAGCAGAGTGTGGTGAGATAGAAATCACACGAAATCAAGCAACTTAATTATAATATTGTTGTTGCTAATGATTTTGAGAAAATGACTCAAACAATGTTGTCAACTTAATACAGTGATAAGCCCTTGTTATATTCTGACAAAAGCCCTAGATACTGCACCATCCAGTTAAAAGATGAGTACAAAGGAAAAAAATATTAGGGTTAATCCCATAGCAACTAACCTTAAAGATAGAAGAAAGTTTGAAACTCAAATATCTGAGCTCTTCAAACTAAATTTAATACAAAACACAGAATTAAATCATTCTTCACCAGCCTTCATGGTAAAAAAACCATGTGGAACAAAAGAGAGGAAAAGCTATGATGGTCATTAACTATAAAAAGCTTAATGAAGCCATCAAATTCGATGGTTTCTTCATCCATAATAGTGAATTATTATTACATAGAATCCAAGACGCCAGATGGTTTAGCAAATTTGATGCAAAGTCTGGATTTTGGAAGATTAAAATTAAGGATGAAGAAAGTAAAAGGCTAACAGCATTGAGCTGTCCTAATGGAGGACATTATGAAAGGAATGTTATGCTATTTGGTCTTAAAAATGCTCTACAAATATTCCAGAAATGAATGAATAGCATTATTGGGCATTTGATATTTGTTGTCGTCACATCCTTGTGTTCTCTAAAACAAAAGAAGAACACAAAGAACATTTGATAGCAGTAGCTAAACTATTGCTCAATCATGGTGTTATATTATCCCCAAAAAAGATAACTCTAATGAAAGAAGATATCGAACTTTTGGAAAAAAGAATTAAAAGTGGTCATATTGAATTACAAGACCATATCATCACTAAGATCAAAGAGTTCAAGAGTGATCCATACGAGATGGTCCCAAAATGAGTAAGGGATCCAAAACTCCTACTGATCTCACAAAAAGAAGGGCATATATAGATTGAAGAAGAATGCCAAAGGAATAAGAGAGAAATAATTTCATATCTTTTAAAAGAAAAAGATTCTAGAGGAGTTAAAATATTCAAAAACCACTAATTAGTGGCTGTTTGATAGCTTGTAATTGGGTTAGTTGCGACTGCAGTTGCACGCAATTTGATCATTTCTTCACAATTGATTATTTGCAGTTGCAAAACATTCTTAGTTTTTTGGTAATGGGATATTACTAATTTGAATTTCGTCATTGTTTTTCTCTTATATGGAAAATAATAGCTTCAGATATCGAATAATTTTCAAATTATTATTTCTTGTGCACGCTATGGTGCATACACTAATTAAGTTGAAGTTTAAAATGATGAGAAGTTAGAAGGATGGATGACTAAATAGGGTATTAAATGGAGCTAGTGGTGGTTAATAGGTGTAGTTATATAGAACATGTAATGGATGGAGTTAAAAGGCTTTCTTCCCTCAAGTTTTTCACCAAATCTTACCTCTTTTGTGATTCTAAAACTACATGTATTGTGAGGACATTTGACAGAATTATTTAAATTTGTGACTTAAACAGGGTTACACTAAAAAATGAGGATCAAAATGACAACTTTTCATAATAGTAGTAACAATGCAAAGACACGTCATTATAGCCTACTTGTGTAATAGTTCGTGATAAAAAATTTAACAAAGATTGATTACACGAATAGATTGTTGTGCACAGCGAAAATTTCGGCAGAGTTTCTAATGCACAATAAGAGAGAAAGATCAATAAGAATTCCCGTCTCACCAAGGAAACAAGAATCTGAAGCGAATATCAATAAGAATTCCCGTCTCACCAAGGAAACAAGAATCTGAAGCGAATATCTCAACAAAGTGAGATATCGTCTCTTCCTCTCATAAGGAAACAAGAATCTGAAGCGAATATCTCAACAAAGTGAGATATCGTCTCTTCCTCTCATCAGTTCTATGACTGACTTATCGAGTGATCCTAAAAAACTATTACAATGGCCACAAATACAAACAAACCAATTTTACGTTGTTCGGCAAACTGCCTACGTCCACGGGGCAAGGAGAGGGAGATCTACTATTAGAGGGAGAGAACACAACTAGGGTTTACAATCACTCAATCTAAACACTCACACAAACTCTCAAACCTCTCACACAATTATCTCTCTTAAAACACAAAAGCTTGTTTGCACGAAGCCAAAGAAAGCCGCTGACTTTTTCTCCCGCAGCCGCACTTTTCTTCTTCTCTGTAGCCGCCTCTGTTTCTGCGATTTTCTTTTACACTTCTGCTCTTGCACTTGCGCCGTACTTCCACAAAGCAAACCGCAGCAAAACCCTCTTTTTGCACGCTCCCAAAAAACCTAGGAACAAAAAACTGTTTCTATATATAGCCTGGTCCCCACGCACGCGAAAACGCGTTCAAAAACACGTCCTGGGAAGGTGTGGTCCCCACATGACACCGTCGTTCACGAAATCTCCTTACGTGTGAACCCTTTCACACTGTTCTTCTCTTCACGCAAATGTCCCTTTCATGTGGTCCCCACTTGCTTCATCAATGCACACAGCAGAATTAAGCTCGTGATCTCTTCACGAGGAAAAACGGACCCCACACGCTATCTTCTCACAATTCTCCACATCGGTGAAGTTTTACCAAAACTGAGCCGACACCAACCAAATAAATGTCTCACTTGTTGCGTCCAGTACGAAGTGAAACGATTCACAACAACGGACTCAATCCACAACAAGTCTAGAACCCAAATGAGAATGCGAACACTCTCCAAATATCGATATCAACTCACCAAATCAGCTGCATCAAAACTGACTGCCTACGTATCCAGTATCCTCTTGCCCAAGGAATCAAGCCTTACGTAGTTCACCCAAATGGCCGCGAACGACATCAATCCAATAGAAGAGTTCGCAACCCTTCTCCAATATCATCAACTTTGCACCTGATAGAACTCCAAATGGCCCCAAAGTGTAACGAATCAAACACCTCCACCTGAGATGAACCAATGGCCATATCCAAACTACACCTATCAGCTGCACCCGAATCAAAACCCAACTCATCATCTGCACCCAAATCCAAATGATCCCTAAGCTGTGTCACCTACGCTGAAATCCCAAACAATGCAGTATGATCTGGAGTAATCTTCACCCAATGTGGAGTAGCATCACACTCCACCCGTTGCGATACATCTAAGGTCTGTCCAAAACTCTCCACCTGCTGAGAGTCAAATAGCTTCCTCATCAAAGCCTCAACCAAAATGACACTACCAGACCAAACACCTAATTGAGTTTTACCTCCTATCACAGCAGTTGACAACTCTTTAGTAAGATGGCTCGAATATGTCGAAGCCTCAGTCCAGAAACTCTTCTGCAGACCATTGTTTGACAACAAACACCTATCCTCCTCCAGCAAGGTACGGTTCTCCAATTTTACCACATTATCTAGTTGTCCCAAGATTTCTTTTCCAACGAAGTATCTCGAAATACCGTGAGCTCAGTTCTAATACAGAAACAGGTCTATCTTGTACCTCCCACCAAAATCAGAATGAAGTACCTTCACATTTCTGTCTATTACACACTTCTTCAATCTGTTGAAAACTACTAGGACTTTC